CTTGCTTTGTTGCCCAGGCTGGTCTTCAACTCCTGGCCTCAAGCAATCCTCCTGCCTTAGCCTCCGAAAGCACTGGGATTATAGTATTTTTGATGCTATTAGAAATTGAATCATTTTCTTCATTTTATTTTTTGTATTATTCATTGCTAGTATACAGAGATAAAATTAATTTTTGTATATGGATGTTGTATCTTGCAACATCAGGTAATACTGCTGAACTCATTTATTAACTGTAATAGATTTTTAAAGATTCCTTAGAGTTTTGAAGAAAATGTCTTTATTTTGCCTTTATTACAGAATAAGTTTTTGGGATATAGAATGTTGTTTCAACAGCTTTTTTCTTTCAACGCTTTCAAGATGTTGTCCTACTATCTTCTGACCTACGTGGTTTCTGATGAGAATTCTGTGATTATTAGAATGTTTTATATGTAACGTATCATTTTTCTCTAGTTCATGTCAAGATTTTTTTTCTTTATTTTTGGTTTTCAGCAGCTTATGATGTATTTAAGAATGGTTACCTTTTAATTATTCTGATTGGTGTTCACTGCGTTTAATGAATCTATAAGTCTGTGTCTTTTACCTAATCTGAGGTGTGCTTAGCTATTATTTCTTTAAATATATTTTTTTCTGTTTCAATATCTTTCTCCTCCCTCTAATTAAAAATATATTAGGTCATTTATATTGCCTCACAGGTCTCTGAGGTTTGTTCATTCTTTTTTCATTTTGTTTTCTTCCTTTTCTTCAGATTGGATAATTTCTATTGCTCTATTTTCAATTTCCTTGCCTTTTTCATCTACTATTAAGTTCATCCATAGTGTTTTTTAAAAATCATATGCATTGTATTTTTTTTTTAGTTTCAAATATCTGGTTTGGTCTCCTGAGATTTCCTTTTTTCATTCATTTCAAGTTTATTTTTCTGTTCTTCTTGTAGCAAAATTGTAGTAGCTGCTTCAATATCTTTGATAATTTCAACATCTAAGCATCTCAGGATTGCCTTTTTTTTTTTTTTTGCTTCAGACTGGCTTACTTATTTCTACTTCTTTCTGTGTGTATGCTGGACACTAAATGTTATGCTATATAGACTTTGGGTTCTGTTATAATCTTCCGAAGAATGTTTGGTTTTAGTAGACAATTAACTTGTTTTGGTTTCAGTAGACAATCAACTTGATTACTTCTGTCTTGCTTTATGTTGGCAGTGATTCAAATCTCAGTTCAGCTCTTTCAGCTTTTGGTATGCTGCTTTGGGTCTGTCTCACACATGTGTATTATTTTCAGTTAGGCTAAGACCTGTGTGGTCTTACACAGAATTAGGTGTTTCCTTCTTTCTTTACCCTCTGGGATTTCTCTCCCACCCTCTAGTTGCAGAGACTCCTTTCCCTGTGCCTCTAGCTAGAAAGATGGCAAAGAATCAGAGTTTTAGCTACTTACACTGTAAAGCTGCTCTACGACTGGGTTCCACCCTCTGGGCAAAGGTACAAGAGGAAAATATAACTGGGAAACTAATCCCTATACTGAGTGTCTCTCCAAGTTTTGTCTGCCTGCCCTAGTCTTCTTACCCTTGCTTCTGTTCAGAGTCCTTAGGTAGTGTTGTTGCTTTTCTAGAATTTGTAGGCATAATCAGTGAAAAGGGATGGATTATAGGAAAAGTACACTGCTATGGTAGAACTGGAAATTATCCAGTATCCTTTTATTAATAAAGATAAAAGTTACTTCTATAAAGAACAAAACAGTGATGGGGTAGCATGAGTACCAAGTCTAGTTCTAGAAGTATTTAAATTTCTTTTATCATAGTGGGAGACAATGTTTCCATAGTCAAATTAATTATTCTAGGCATATGCATAGGATAGAAACTTAGAAATTTGGGGTGGAGGGACATTAAAGGTTATTAGTTTAACCTCATCCTCATCGTTTTGCATATCATGCCCCAGAGTGAAAATTAAGGCCTCAGTTAACTCAGTCCACTGTTAAGATTCGCCATGTAGTTGCTGTATGTGCCATGTATTTTCACATAAGTATGTGTCCTGAAGTCATAGTGTCTGTGTCTGGAGTGTGAACACTTTTACATCTCCCTAACCCCAAAACCTAAACTTTAGACACAATTTTATAAAAGAGGGAACCCAAACAAATAAATATTTGTTGCAAATTTAACCACTTAGGTTTATTGTTAAATTACATTTATTTTGGTTCAGGGGCATAAATACAAGTTAAGATTTAATAGTTGTCTTTCTGATTTTTTCTAGTAATATAGGAAATATGAAAAAGACTTAAATAATTATGTTCTGTGCTTTTATAAGAATATAACAAAACTGACTTTAAAAAATAATGAATGATTCAAGTGATCTAGAATCTGCAAGATTTGATGCAGGTGATGGTGGTGGAAGTAGCCAAATTGGCTATTTAAAAATATGTTTTTAGCTAATTTATTAAAATATGAAGATGTATAAGGAGGTTGAATATTTGGGGGTTTCTCAGAATCCTTTTCCAGTATCTCCCTGTCTTGAAAGTATTCTGTATATTTACTAAAGATATCTTATAAATTTACATCTTTAGTAATGTTACTTCCATGTAAAATATGTGCAGTACACGTACTCTAACCCTCCTATAAAATTTAGTTCAGAGCCCTTCACTGCCTGTCAACCCTGATGGCCAGCCTCATCTAACACTTCTGTCATTCAAATAATACTTATTATTAATAAATGCCTACTGTTGTGCCAGACTGTATCCTAGATATTGGAGATATAGTGGTGGGATGGGGCTGGGGAGAGATTTAGATAAAAATCAAGTAAATAAGTAAACATCAAAATGCGATGTTTGGTACAAAGGAATAAAGTAGGGTTTCTAATCAAGAGGGTGGGTTGAAGGTGCATTAGAGAGGGAGATAGAGATAGAGAAAGGCCCCTTCAGAGATCTCGCAAGCAAAGGGATCAGCAATGGAAAAATGCCCCGAGGCAGAAACAAGTTTGGTGTATCAGAAAGACAGAAGGAAGGTGGAGTGGGTGGAGTGGAGTCAGGGATTGGAAAGGCAGCGGGTTAGAGAAGTTGTCATACTTGAGTAATTGGGACCTTATCTACGGATGAGGACTTCAGATGTTATTCATGGTCATTTGCTACAGCCTATGAGACCATCTTCTTTTAAAAAAACATCATCTCTACTTAAACTTTTATGCTGTTGCATACATAGCTGTCCCCATATGGACACTCTCTGCCTTATTTCTTCCTGTTGAACTCTTAGCCCATTTTAAAAAATGAAGCTCAAATCCAATATCATCCATAAAGTCTTTCCTGATTGCTCTTACAGGATGTATTTTTTTTTCCTTCTCTATGTAGCCATCCATTCATTCTTGGAAACTCAATTAGTCACTGAGAACGCACTATGTTCCAGGCACTGTGCTAGGCACTAGGAATACAAAGATAAATAAGACACTGTCCTTACCTTTGCAAAGCCCATTATTTGGTGAAGAAGATAGCCATATATGAGCAGATCATTATGGTTAAGCATGATGAATGCTCTAACCAATTAAAAATGAAGCACATTGGGTGGTGGCACAAAGCGTGAAACAACTACCTCTACCTGCATAGAGTTTCAAAGGATGAGTAGGAGTTCAGTGTCTGGGGAGAGTGAAGAAGTTCATCTCAGACCCTGAGTCTGAATATGCAAAGACATCAAAACATGAGTGTGCCTTGTGAGTTTGAGTAATGGTGGAAGATCCAAGATGAACATCAGAAACTTGAGCATTAAGTTGCAGATGATTGTACAGGGCCTTCCACATATTGCCAAGGAATTTGGACTTGATAGGTTAGAGGGAATGTTACCTGGTGGGAGTATGGAGTATGATCTTGAATAGGGAGAGAAGATGAGCGATCATGTTGGTCTGTTGCAATAGTCCAAATGAATGATGGCAAGTATTTAAGCATGCATTTCAGCAATGGCAGAATGAATGAACAGAAAGGGCTGGATCTAAGAGACAGTTCTGCCTTAGAAGCAACCAGTATTGGTGACCAATTGAATGTGGAACATATGGGAAAAGGATAGCTTTTGGAAAGGCTGGCTTGGGTGAATGGTGTTCCCATTAACTAAAATAAAAAACAGAGGTGGAGGAACATGGTTAAAGGAAAGAAAATTAGTTCCGTTTTTAACACGGTGTGTTGAAAATTCCTGCAGCGCACCCCAGACACACATTTTGTTTATTGCATTTACAGCCCAATTGGTACTTAGCAGCAGCTGCTGTGTGTACTGTGTGGTTAGGATTCTATTTATAAAGATGACTTATCTCACTGGGCAGAGTGTTGGCCATAAGAAAACAGAATCATGCATTTCACTTTTCCATATGTTCCTTAGCAGTATACACATGATCTGTCCTAACAGGTACTCAATAAATATATAATGCAGAAGAAATAAAAATCAGTTTAAGATTGATGATTCTGTTTTACGAGTTGTTTAACTGTTCTTTGGGCTCCCCATGCACCAATATAATATTAAGTTTATTGGTTAAGTGCCAGCCTGGTTTTCTTGTGTCCACCTTTATTCTGGAGTTAGAAAGAATGTCTTAGCACCAAATCTCTCACAGAGAAGAGTTTTGAATTTATATTTTTTCTTAAATTGGATTTATATTTTTCTTAAATTGACTTTTTTTTTTTTGCAGTTTATGTTATAGAAAGGGAAGGCATTTCATGGCATGTAAATGGTACCTTTTCAAGGCTTCATGTAGAAAAAAGGAGGGGCTATATCCATCTTATTTTCAACTGTTTACCTGGTATCTAGAGTTAGAATTGGTACATAGTAAAAGGTCAATACATATTTAACAGATGAGTGAGCTAATATAGATTTCCCCGTGTTTGTGTATTTCACTGGGCATTTTCATATGCCTGGGATGGGGAGTGTTAGACATATTCCCTCACACTCAATCATATTTAAATTCTAAAAGTACTTTAAATGTATTGTACACTTATGCACTTTTAGAAAATTTACCATTCTGACCTTTGTCAATTTTGCCAGGCAGGCAGTGTGAAGAAATGTTCTAAAGTTCTTTGCTCAGATCTACAGGTAAAATAAATTGTTTTTCTCTCCGCCACCATTTTCAAAATTGCTTTTAAATCAGGCCTTTTAGAGGAATCTGATTTTCCCTATTGTCTGTACAGGATGTGACCTATTCCCCTTGGTTTTGACAAGTCTGTGGTGATTACTGACAGAGGAAGGCAAAAGGGACTGCCAACAAATCTCTTGATTGAGCGGAATGCGGTGAACTGGCAGCACTTTACAGATGTGAGGATGCAACCTGCAGGTGCAGTCCAGTGCCTTGGGGTGGGGGGAAAAAGAACAGTGCAGCCCCAAAGCCAGTGCCTTCTTGGACCCTTCCCCCTTCAGTTTAGTCTACATACTTCTGGAACAGATGGCTTATTCAGGTTCTCATTTTGCCTATCATCCATAGGAACTATGGACTGCTTCCCCAATGTGGGGAACCTCTTCTACTGCACTGGAGTTTCATTCAAGGACACTCATTCTTTCTGCAACCCTATCCCTGCCTGCCATCGTCCTTTCCTCCCACCTGGGCTTCCTGTCTTTCTTCCTGTGGTTAAGTAATTTTTTTTCCTCTCTCTCCATGTCTCTGAACTCTTGGCATCTGTTACATCTGCTTGAAATCATTCTCCAGGATTCTTCACTTTGGGTGGAGTTGCAGGGAGGGTGTTTCCTGAGGTATGCCTTCACTGGGGCCACCATGACTCAGAGGCTGTGACTGGGAGGCCCTGGAATCATTTCTGTTTTTCCCTGAGGTCCTTATGTCCAGGAACGAGGGGTCCAGCCTCAGAGTGGTCAGTTGCATAGCTAAATAGCCAAAATAATTACCAGGTAATAGCCAAAATAATTAAGAATTATTCCAGCCTTTTGAAGGGTTTTGAAGAGGAAAAAAAACGACATAGTCCATAGCTGCACTTACAAAATCTTCTTTCTCCTCCTGTCCACATTCCTCAAACTCCAAATGGCTGTCCTCTTGGATCCAATTGAACTCGGTTTACTGCTCAGCTTCCCACATTCTTTCCTAGCACTTCATCATGGCTCAGAATTAGCCTCTGTCTCTACAAGATGCAATCCTTCTAATTTAGGAAGGGGAGAGGGAATTAGAAACAATGGGAGAAAGGAAGTTTGGGAACACTCTTCCTGTGATAATTTTTGTACTATTATGTTACATAGTATGAAAATATATTTTAAATGCTTCAAAATGAAGTCTTACATATACTAGTAGGTATGATGATAAGTTTTTAAAATAAATTTAAAATTATTTTGATATACCATTTCTTTCAAAGACAAAATACTAGCTTTTCAGGAAACAACTCCTTGTTTGACGAATGTATTCTTAAATAATTGACTTTGTGATGTCAGAATGGGTGAATTTTCACAATCTGGGATTGTATCTTCCATCAGAGGTTATATCAGCTGTAGTAAAGAGATTTTGAAATTAGACATGCTTTGCAACCAGAAAGGAAGAACATTTAACAAAGTGTTCCTAGGCTGTTAGCTATGAACATACTTGTCAGTTGCCAGAGTTAAGAGGGTCTCAGGTCAAGTTCACTAGATATATGCTGTTTATAGACAGGGAGGTCTCAAGGGCACAGCACAGAGCCTAGTTTATAGGAAGCTCTTGATGGATGATCTCTGAACTGAGCTGCTACAGAAGCTCTGAAGTCCAAAACTTTACTTTTGGACATTTATCTCCCACAGCTGTGTGTCTTAATTTCTGAACTTGCCTGTCACACTCCTTTCTCTTCCCAGTCACATGCACATAAAAGTCCTCGCAACTGATTCCTATGTCTTTGAGATTTACTGGGGATCTTCTGCCTGTGCATCAGGGTGATTATGAGCTTCTGGAAGGAGGATGGAAGGGACAGTATCAAAATGCACAGGCCTACCCCAGAAGCTTAAATAGATCACCTTTTATACTTGCTTTTAGATGATGCTGATGAAGTTATCATAGTCATTTATTGTGGGGATGGGAGAAGGATGCTATGGTATTCTCACACGCTTTGGATGATTTTTCTCCTTTCTTTTACATTGTCACCATTTGTTTGTTTTTCCAGATACTGCTCATCTCTGGTTGACCACAAGATCAGTTTGCTGATGAGGAAAGTAGGTGAACAGGCAGAATACCGTTTTTTCGTGGAATTGTGACTCAACCAGATGGATAGAAACCTGTTGTGTTGGAAAGTACACCAATTACTTACAGCCAAATACTTAATGTGCAAAGGCATTTAAAGAAATCTGTGAACGCTATCCGAAAATAATGCAAGGATCTATGGACATTTGTCCTTTTAGAAAGTGAACTGGCTTTTTAGGCGAAGTCTTACATCTTTAAAACTAGACCAAATGAATACCTTTTCATATACTATTCATTACCAAGTAAAATTTGGCTTATGTCTTAGATCTGCCCCTACTCAAAATTCAGTAACAGCAGTGGCATAACACCAATAAAGCTGTGATAGTGGCCAAAAATTCATGGTGCTGTAAAGCCAGTATCAGTTCTATTATTCAGGCTCCTTTACATACTTGTCTATTCTGTCTTTCTGAAAATAAGAAACAAATTAGATAATGCTTCAATGTGAGATTCATAATGTTGATACTTATTACTGAGTGCTCTTGCAAAGAGAAGCATGGAAATCTGGGTATGGGTTTTGAAATTGAACAGCTTGGGTTTGAGTTTCAGATCTAACACTTTACAGCTCTGAGGTGAGTGTACATGAGTGTCTAAGGCTGTCTAGCTTCAGTTTCTTTATCTGAAAAACTAGGTTGATAGTAACCAGTCTCAAAGTTGTGAGAATTAAATGAGAAAATGTTTGTAAAGCTCCTAGGATAGTGTCTGGGATATTGCAAGCACTCCATATATGGTAACTATTATAAACATCAGTTCATTTCATCTTAACAACAACCCAGTGAGACAGGTAAAGCAGGAATTATTGTTATACCCATTGCTCAGACAAGAAAGCAAAGTCCCAGCAAGTTGAAGCTACTTGCCAAAGGTTACACAGTAATTTAAGTAGTGAAAATGGGACTCCAATCTGTTTTCTGACTAAAAATTCCCAATTCTATCATATATCAAGCTTGATTTTATCCACAGTTTACAATTACTGATAGATTTTTGATATAGAAAAAAAAATTGTCTGATTTCATTGAGCCTGGAGACTCAGAAATGCTTTCCTGAGCTTAGTATAAATCCAGGAAGAGACATACTCTCAGAGATTCCAATAATTATTACACACCTTTTGCTTCCAGCAGAATATACGAAGACAAGAAGCTAAGAATAAAAGAAAACTCTGTTTTGGTTACTGAAACTTTCTGCTGTTTCCTACCCCATCAATTCCAATTGATTGGTAGTTCTGTGGTAGATGTGTCAAGGTGGGATGTGGCAATTTTTATTCTGTCATTCTTATCTTCACAAATTTTAGGTACAAAGAATTTATAACATCCTTTCCAAGTTCAAAGGGAATGATGTTTGTAGACATAAAACCTAGTGCATTCCCCTCACAAATTTGGTGCCCTCAGAATAGGTTTTGAGCCCTTGAGTGATGGCTACAATTACTAAGTGTTTCTAGGGTATTAGGTTTTATTTGAAGCACTTGAACAATTTTAGTAGATACGAACTTTTTTTAGTCAGCTTTATACTACTGTGGATAAAACAATAATGTTGGTTGAGCCAACTTCTTAAAACATTTCTTCCAAGGCTGAGCTGTGCCTCTTTGATAGCAAATGATTTTTCCCTGGACTTTATTAGAAAATACACATGTTGGCTGGGGTGGTGGCTCCCGCCTGTAATCCCAGCACTTTGGGAGGCCAAGGCAGGCAGATCACGAGGCCAGGAGATCGAGACCATCCTGACTAACACGGTGAAACCTCGTCTCTACCAAAAATACAAAAAATTAGCCGGGCGTGGTGGCGGGCGCCTGTAGTCCCAGCTACTCGGGAGGCTGAGGCAGGAGAATGGCGTGAACCCAGGAGGCAGAGCTTGCAGTGAGCCGAGATAGCGCCACTGCACTCCAGGCTGAGCAACAGAGCAAGACTCCATCTCCAAAAAAAAAAAAAAAAAAAAAAGAAGAAGAAGAAGAAGAAAGAAAATACACATGTTGATTTCCACTCTAACATCCATCTTTGTAATAACGAGAATTTACTTACCTTAGTGTCCTTATCTTTGGACAACTCTAGTAATCAAAATATAAAACTGGCACTGGAAATAATAGCAATAAACAAGATGGTAACTGTCTTTAAGGAATTTACTACTTAGTGGTGGTTGGGCATGTTGCGGGGCATGTAGGGGTGGATAAAGACAAAGAATTGAAAAAGTAAAACAAAACCAAAAAGCAAAATAGTATTACAGTGCAATAAGGGCAGTGACAGAAGAGCAGAGACAATGAAAGCCTAAAAGAGGAGTGGCTAACTTTGACTGTGAGAAGGAGGTGCAGGACCAGAGAAGAATTATTGAAGTGATAACTAAGGAAGAACAGAAACTATCCAGGCAAAGCAAAAAGGAGAGGAAGAGAGTTTTAGGCAGGGAGAGCAACATACTTAAAGGACTGGAGAGTGAGCACAGGGTTTGAGGAGCTGAAAGAAATTCCCAGTTGAATCCTAGGTGACAAGGGGAATGGGGACCAGCAGAAGCTGAAGAGGAAGGTGGGACCAGGTCAGGCCAGGTTTTGTTGTAAACCATATTTAAGGAACTTGACCTTCATCCTGAGAAGAGTGTGTAGACATTAAAGTAAGGATACTGTAGACAGAGCATGACTTCTGTCATCCGTTAGCTGTTGACCTTGACTGGAGAGATGGAGAGAGAACACAATGAGTAGAGGGCTCCTGGTAGCTGTAGGGTGGAGAAAACATCATAAGCTGATGAAATCCAGTGGAACTGCATGTTCTCCAGTGTGTAACTAACTTTAAAGATGAGTACATTGACATCTAGAAATTTATTCCCCTTCTGCTATCAAATAAAGTTATACAAAAATTGTACATACTTCATTAAAGGACATATGTTAAGAATTTGTGCATTCTCTCCTGCTAACTGACAGGTGTAGGAAATGGAAAAAAAAAAAGAATTTCTGCATTTTAGATTTAAAATTTACTTCCAAGTCAGTTTCCTAGTTATCTGCATTGTCGACTTTTACCATTTATCAAGCATTGTCTTTAAGTGTTGTACCTATTTAATTATCTCTTAGAAACATGGTATTTAATTTTCTAAAAAAGAAGCTCAAAGTATATTTCCTTTTGTTCCTTTGTTCAGTATGCATTGATTCTTACCAAGTACCCATTGTGGAGGCAGCTCTCTTGACAGATTTGCACTTGACTATTGCTTGGTACCTCACTGAATAATTGAGTAATTTTCTAATTACATGTTGCAGTGAGTGTGATGCTTGCATGCTACTTTTTCAAAAAGATAAATAAAAGAATTTTCTAAATATTATAGTCAGAAGAAAAATAAATTAATCATAATTACAAGTTTGCCATTCACTTACCATATATTCATCACTGTGCAAGTCTTTGGGTGAGGGTGGGGTTATGAAAACATGTAAAATAAATAATACTTACTCCCTAGAAATTCACAATATTGGTGAGGAACCAGAACATATGTGAAAAAAAATGGAGGATAATACAAGGAAAATATTATTAGGAACTCAGAGTTATGGTTGAAATTACAAAGTGCAAGAAAGATGAAAAGGAGGATCTCAGTATTAGCCAGAATAATCAAGTAAGTTTTCTTGCAGGAGGGATGCTGGAGCTCAGCTTGCAAGCTGACTTTGGATTTTAATGGCTTGTCTTGCTGGGGAAGGATTTATGGGTGAAAATTATTCTGTTTGCTTAATACAGTGCCGGAAGAACCAGAGTGCTGGTCAGGAACTGCATGACCTCAGTTCCTTCCCATATAGGTCCAAGCCCTAATGTCACTGCTTTGCATGAGTCATGTTCCAAACTACCTTCCATGTCTTATCAAGACCCCATCACTCCAGGGCTTGTCTCCAACCAGTGTGCCATGGTTCACGGTTAGAGGTGGTAAATGCTGGGTCTTCTCATCTCACACTTCTCCTTAGGCTGTTAGTCTAGTAGAGAATGCCCTTTCTACTCCAGATATGATGGTCAAAAATAACAACCTGTAGCCACCCCTTCCCAACTGCTCCTTACCTAAAACCATTTGGTAGTAAACATCATCTATAAACAACTCATTACGTAAAAAGAAACTTTTTCTTCCCCAGGTGTCGTTCACATACAGTCTCAAACCACTAAAAGAATTTAAAAAGCAAGAATTCCCTAAATGCTAATAGGTGACTGAGAAAGTGAAGCAATCTTTGACCCTGAATGTGTACTTTCCTTGACACTTTGCCTCATTTTCTGATACGTAAATAAGTGCAGTACCTAGTTCCTATTGCACAAAGACAAAGCAACTTATGGATAGGAATATCCTTGAAAAGGTGAATTTAAAAGAGTCTTAAAAATGTAATATATTCAAGTGGAAACCAGCACAGAATTTTAACTGAATTACTAGTTAGCATTATCAGATATCATCACCTTCTTTTCAAATCACTTTCATGTCTGACCAGTGAGAAAAGCAAAAATAAAGTTTAAGGAAAAAACGTGTCATCAATTAAGTATACCAATTTCTATATATTATTGCTATGCATTTTTTCCTAAATTAAGAGAAAAGTTGTTTAGTTGTGGAAAAAAAACCTGAGGACCTAATTATGTTATTTTCATCATGGGACAAAAATTAGAATTTTATGAGAGAATAGTTAATTCTAGGTTAACACAAAATATTAATGAGTATTTTTTTCTGGAAAATGTAGAGTTTCTTTCCCTATTATGTAATTGCAATAGAGTTCTCAGGAGCTAAACATTTACATGAGATTGTTCTTTCCATAAACTGTTATGTTCAAAGAATGTTTGTCCTGTTCTCAAAGCCCCTTGTCTATATCAGTGGTGGTGCATAAAAATAGTTATCATTAGGCTGAGACGGGCGGATCACGAGGTCAGGAGATCGAGACCGTCCTGGCTAACACGGTGAAACCCCGTCTCTACTAAAATACAAAAAAAAATTAGCCGGGCGAGGTGGCGGGCGCCTGTACTCCCAGCTACTCGGGAGGCTGAGGCAGGAGAATGGCGTGAACCTGGGAGGCGGAGCTTGCAGTGAGCTGAGATCCGGCCACTGCACTCCAGCCTGGGCAACAGAGCCAGACTCTGTCTCAAAAAAAAAAAAAATAGTTATCATTAACTTTGATGTGGTGTTCCAGGTTGATCAGGCAGTGTAAAGGATTTGCATCAATATTGTGAGGAGCCTCATTTTGAAAAAAAAAAAAAAATCTGGTAAGGAAATTTACCTAAAGAAAAAGATTTTGTTTAAGGGCTCCACATTAAATGAAATGTTGATAATTTCAGATTTTTTAGGAATTAGAAATCCAGTTTATGAAATTCCACTGCTCTCTGGCACTCCAAAGAGAGGATATGTTACTTTGCTGCTTCTTA